CAAGTAGCCAGAACTACAGGTGTGCGCTACCACACCCAGCTAATTTTTTGAGTGTTGTAGGGATGCAGTCTCACCAAGTTACCCAGGCTGGTCTTGAACCCATGGGCTCAGGCTGCAATCCTCTCACCTCGGCCTCCCAAAGTGCTGGAATTATAGGCGTGAGCCACCATGCCCAGCAAGACCCTATCTCTAAAGAAAAAAGTTACCAAAAAAAATAAGACCAGTTACTGAAGCAACTCACAAACCCTAATGTCCCCTCCTCTAAGGTATAAGACACTTCACACACATTGCATGTCCAGCCCTTGTCTCTTGAGAGGGATGGCCAGAAGACTGGGTGAGATGAGGGAATTAGGCCAAAGTTTGACATTTAAAGAGGTTTTCCTACGTTATCAGAAAAGAAAAGAACTGACCTTAAGTGAATGGAGTGTTTCTAGAAACATGTTCCCTTGCTCAGTGTTTGGTGAAGAAAAGACTCCTCTACAAAGATCTGCAGAGGAAGTGGCATGCTGGCCGCCTCGGCAGCCTTCCCTCACAGTGAGGAGAGAGCACTGTATTTTTCTGTGGAGAAGATTGAAGGTTCTGTGAGTGTGTTCTGAGCATTATTTGTATGTGACATGACAGTGTGACTGTCGCTGCTGGGGTCTGGAGAACAGATCACTGAGGGCCAATGTGCCTGGGGCGGGCGGGCCTTCTAACCTGAGGCTTTGCCAGCTTCATTCCTCCACCTAGGGGGCTCATGAGGACAACAATTAAAAATCTGGACGCCACCTCATGCTAACTAGTGAGAAATGCCACGAATCAGTGAGAGATGACCGTGAAGTGAGTGAGATTCCGCTCTCCTGGTCAGCACGTTATCTCCCGAAAGCTGGCTTTCCAGAGAAGCCAACAACTGATCTCAGAGCAAGGAGTTATCAGAGGGCCTTGGCTGGTGTTGTTCCCACTCTGAGGTGCCTGCTGTGGGAACTGGATCATGAAGTGAGGGACCAGGGTGCTCTCTGCTCCAGTTGGTGTGAACACCGCTCGTGTTTCCTCTTTCACTGACGTGAGGTGGTCCATTACTTCTCTATGAAGAAATTCTTCTTCGTTTTAGAGGAGGAAGGGATAATAGAGGACACGGGTGGCAAGGCAGGACACGCCATTCTAGTGGAATGTTCCAGAAGGGAAAATTGAGATCAGGTGGTTTAGAATGGCTGACGATATACTAATTAGAATTCAGATTACACTCCATTATTCAAAGAGAAGCATAATTAGAGCACCCGTGACCCTTGGATTTGTTCATTAACTGGCAAGTATCTGTGGCACTGTTATGTGTATGTAGATAAATAAATATATATATATATATATATATATATATATGTATATATATATTTGAGTCAGAGTCTCACGCTGTTGCCCAGGCTGGAGTGCAATGGCACGCTCACGGCCCCCGCAGCCTCAACCTGCTGGGCTCAGGTGATCTTTCTGCCTCAGCCTCCCAAGTCGCTGGAACTACAGATACATGCCACGCCACCACACTTGGCTAATTTTTTGATATATTGTGGAGTGGAGGTCTCGCCAAGTTGCCCGGGCTGGTCTCAAACCCCTGGATTCATGCAATCCTCTCCCCTCCACCTCCCAAAGTGCTGGGATTACAGGCATGAGCCACCGTGTCCAGCTGAGCCTCTTTTTTTTTTTTTTGAGTTGGAGTCTCACTCGGTTGCCCAGACTGGAGTGCAGTGGCCGCTGCTGGCCACTGCAGCCTCGCCTGCTGGGCTCCGGCAATCCTTCCGCCTCAGCCTTCCGAGAAGCCGGAATTTCAGGCATGCGCTACCACGCCCGGCTGATTTTTTGATTTATTGTAGAGATGAGGTCACGCTGCCCAGGTGGGTCTCGAACCCGCGGGCTCAGGCAATCCACTCACCTCAGCCTCCCAAAGGCTCTGGATTACAGGCTGAGCCACCAAGCCTGGCTGAGCCTCTTTTTATAAGAACACTGATCCCATTCGTGAGAGTGGAGTCCTTGTGACTTAATCACTTCCCAAATGCCCTACCTCTTTACTGTTACATCGGGTATTGGGTTCCAACATGAATTTCAGGGTAACACCAACATTTAAACAGTAGCTGGGCCTCAGGCTCAAGTCCCATAGAGGGTGCTTATCGTTTAAGTTCATGTCATTCCCATGACCGACCTTCCATCTCCTTCTCATAATTTTCAGGCAACAACATCACAGAAGCTTTCCTAGTCCAGAGGAATTGTGAGCCCCAAGGACCCTTGGTAAGAATTGGGGGTGAGGTGTGGAGAGACTGCTGGCTTGTATGACTTTATAGCAGTTTTTAGGAGAGAGATTACACTGTAGAATGCTATAGGATGGGTGCAGTAGGTCTTTGGTTTTTCTGTCTCTGGGGTCAGCAGCTGATGGAATTGTAAGGACGTAACCAGTCTGGACACAAGGGTATCGACAGAAACAAGACTCCTATTTGAAACTGAGGTCCTGCGCTGGAGCTGAACAGACTTGGGACCAACATGAGTGGCCTGCTATGCATCAGGCTCTGTGCTGGTGCATCCTGGTTTCATCTGGTCCTCAGGGCAACTCTCATAAATGCTCTTATTGTCCCCGTGTTCAGTGAGGCTCAGGGAACATGTGTCACTTGCCGGGGTCATATAGCCGGTGAGTGGCTGCGCCAGGATCCGCATTCAGGTCTTGAGAGTTCTCTGTGATAGATCTTCTCCACCTTTAAAGTGTTTACAAGTCACTTGGGGATCTTGTTAATCCCCAGTGGTTAGGAAACAGCAAAATTCGATCTGCTGGGTCTTGGGTGGGGTCTGAGTTTCTGCTTTTCTAACAAGCAGCCAGGTGACATTGAGGATGCCAGTTTGCTGACCACACTCTTGGGCTTGATGGCATGCTGTGTAGACTACTGGGAGAGGAACAGTGAGAAGGCAGAGGTCATCATTCTATGAGTTCTAGGCCTGGCATGGTGGCGCACACCTGTACTCCCAGCACTTTGGGAGGCTGAGGTAAGGGGACGGCTTGAGCCCAGGCATTCAAGACCAGCCTGGACAACATAGTGAGACCTCAACTCTACATAAAATTTTTAAAAATTAGCAGGGCATGGCGGTACACGCTTGTAGCCCCCACTGCTCAGGAGGCTGAGGCAGAAGGATCACTTGAGCCCAGGAGGTCAAGGCTGCAGTAAGCCATAATCGTGCCACTGCATTCCAGCTTGGGCAACAGAGTGAGATCCCAACTACAAACCATCTATCAGTTCTCTCCCTGCCCCCCTTTAAGGCGTAGTAATCCTGTGCCTTGTCTACAATAGTCAAACTGCCTCACCTGTGTATAAGCTTATTCATAAAACAGCTTTTTCTGAGTCTGGCCTTTGCTTAGTGAGCAGTGTTCACAGACTTTGGGTGAAGTTATTTCCTGAAACCTCAAACGAGAAGACCTCATGAGAAGGTCCAGATTTCTTTGTCTTTGTCTACATCAAGGACTTGGCAGGGTAATGCCCAAGAGGAACATGAAGTGTTCAGGGCCTACTCTGCCGAATACTTGAACAGATCTACCCATTGTAAGTCAGCCTGAGATCTGAAGATCTGGATTCACACAAAGGGTGAATTTGGAACTGATTATTACACAAAAATATGTTGCTGTCCAATTCCTTTCCTTAACAAGACTCTCCTACTATTTTTTGTTTGTTTGTTTGTTTTTAGATCTGTTGCCCAGGCTGGAGTACAATAATGTGATCTTGGCTCACTGCAGCCTCCAGTCCCTGAGCTCAAGCAGTCATCTCACCTCAGCTTCCTGGGTAGCTGGGACTACAGTCACGCACCACCACACCGGGCTAATTTTTAAAAACTTTTTGTAGAGACGAATTCTTGCTATGTTGTCTAGGCTGGTCTCGAATTCCTGGCCTCAAGCGATCCTCCCACCTCACCCTCCCAAAGTGCTGAGATTATAGGCGAGAGCCACACGCCTAGCCCCTTCCTATGTATTTAAACAGGGAATCAGTTAACTAAATTTTGATGTAGGTACAAATTTTCAGGAATGCTTGTGTAACATGAGCTCTCACCTTGGGTTGGAACCTGAGGACTGAGTATAGGCTGTGCTGGGGTTGGAAGTCCGCTTTGGTTCCCTGGCTTAGCAGAGTGACAGCCCTCCTTAACACGCATCCCTGGGTGGAATAGTTGGGGCATTACCAGGAAGGCCTAGTATTGCAAGGTCATAAGGCTGTCTTAAGTTCCACATCTTTTTCTCTTTTTAGATCAATTCTGAATTCTATACTGGCTGGCTAGACCATTGGGGCCAACCTCATTCCACAGTCAAGACCAAAGCAGTGGCTTCCTCCCTCTATGATATGCTTGCCCGTGGGGCGAATGTGAACTTGTGAGTGTCCATGGCCTGAGGGGAGGGTTCCCTCAGTAGCTGTGGGCTCACAGTGAAGTCCTATGTGTTCTCTTGTTTCCCTATAGGTACATGTTTATAGGTGGAACCAATTTTGCCTATTGGAATGGTAAGAGCAATTTAACTTTGTAGAAGCTTATACTAGAATGTTTCTGTTGGTTAATTTTGAGGGGTGTGCCTACAGATGGTTTTTATTTTCTACTATTGTTAATCTTCTAAATTTCCTATTATGTAAGAATTAGCTAAATAATTTTTTAAAATAGTTTTTCTTAAATTATTTTTTTATAATAGACACTTAAAAACTATTAGATCATAAAATAAATGTGTCCATCATTTATGTTTTTATTTATTTTATTTATTTATTTATTTATTTTATTTTTATTTTTATTTTTTTTTGAGTTGGAGTCTCACTCCGTCGCCCAGACTGGAGTGCAGTGGCCGCTCCCGGCCCCCGCAGCCTTGACCTGCTGGGCTCCGGCGATCCTTCTGCCTCAGCCTTCCAAGTAGCTGAACTACAGGCACGCGCTACCACACCCGACTCATTTTTTATTTTATGCAGAGATGAGGTCTCGCCAAGTTGCCCAGGCGGGTCTCAAACCCGCGGGCTCAGGCAATCATTCATCTCAGCCTCCCAAAGCACTGGGATTACAGGCAGAGCCACCGAGCCCAGCTGTGTTTTTTTTTTTTTTTTAAATTTTAATTTTTTTTTTTTTTTGAGTTGGAGTCTCACTCTGTCGCCCAGACTGGAGTGCAGTGACCGCTCCCGGCCACCACAGCCTCGACCTGCTGGGCTCCGGCGATCCTTCCGCCTCAGCCTTCCGAGTAGCCAGAATTACAGACACGCGCTACCACACCCGGCTGATTTTTTGATTTATTGTAGAGATGAGGTCTCACCAAGTTGCCCAGGCGGGTCTCAAACCCGTGGGCTCAGGCAACCCACTCACCTCAGCCTCCCAAAGCATGGGATTACAGGCTGAGCTACCAAGCCCAACTTTTAAAAAATTTTTTAAGGGACATAACATGAGCATTTATATTTTTTTTAAAGAGAGTGGTCTTGCTATGTTGCCCAGGCTTGTTTCAAACTCCTGGGCTCAAGCAATCCTCCTGCCTTGGCCTCCCAAAGTGCTAGGATTACAGGTGTGAGCCACCTCATCTGGCATATGAGCATTTAGAAGCTCTGTGATTTTAAACCAGGCTAGTGGGGCAGGCTTCAGTCGTAGTCTGTGACTGTAAGTTATTTGTTTAAATACTCTGCGCTGACCCTTTTTTTTTTGAGTCGGCGTCTCACTTAGTTGCCCAGGCTGAAATGCAGTGGCATGCTCACGGCCACCGCAGCCTCGACCTGTTGGGCTCAGGTGATCCTTCTACCTCAGCCTTCTGAGTAGCTGGAACCACAGGCGTGTACCACCACGCCCTGCTAATTTTTTGACTTATTGTAGAGACGAGGTCTCACCAAGTTGCCCAGGCTGGTCTCAAACTCCTGGGTTCAGGCAGTCCTCTCACCTCGGCCTCCCAAAGTGCTGGGATTACAGGCATGAGCCACCGCGCCCAGCCCAATATTTTTGGTATCCATTCTTCAGTTGATGGATGTTTGGGCTGTTTCTACTTTTGGCTATTATAAATTCTGCTTCTGTGAACATTGATATACAAATATTGTTTGAATCCTTATTTCAGTTCTTTTGTGTATACACGTAGGAGTAGAATTGATGGTTCATATATGAACTTTTTGTTAGCATTTGAGGAGCTGCCATAGTGTTTTCTAAAGCAGTTACCCCATTTTACATTCCTTTTTTTTGGTAGGAAAAATCACAGCATATTTTCTTGCATCGTCATTGATTTTTGCAAAGACAAATTATGCTCTGTTAGCTTTTCTCTAAGCTTTATTCCTCACCCTATCCACATTTATGTTTTTCTCTCTGACGTATTGAGGGTGCCCTCCTGTTGGGTTTTAGAAGCTTAATTTGGGCCTAAATTTCTCAGTATCTAAAATTGGATGCCATCAACTCCTGATGACGTTTCTCCTTTGAACTGCTCTCTTTTCACGGGCTGGGATAGGCTAGGAGAAAACATTGCTTATAAGCATTATCAACTTTATTACTCTTGTTAGAGCCAAAATATGAAGATATTGCAAAACTCAAATGTCATTGCTTGAAAGATAACAGTGTGCCAAGGTTGGCAATTGATATATTTTAGACCATCTCTGTGTGTCTGCCTTCTCATGAGAAACAGTTAAGACTTCGCAACACCATTTGCACTCAGTGGATAAAGATTCTACCTAGCTGCCATTGATGGAATTGAGACCAGTCATCTAGTCCAGGAACAAAGATTGATCGTTTTTGGCACTTTACAGTTCATGGCACAATTTCTAAACAAATCTTACTGTTTTACTTAAAACAATACATTTAAAAAAAATTTAGAGCCAGGCTTGGTGGCTCAGCCTGTAGTCCCGCGCCTTTGGGAGGCTGAGGTGAGTGGATTGCCTGAGCCCGCGGGTTCGAGACCCGCCTGGGCAGCGAGACCTCATCTCTACAATGAATAAAAAAAATAAAATAAAAAAATCAGCCGGGCATGTTAGCGCGCGCCTGTAGTTCCTGCTACCCAGAAGGCTGAGGCGGAAGGATCGCTGGAGTCCAGCAGGTCAAGGCTGCGATGGCCAGGAGCAGCCACTGCACTCCAGTCTGGGCGACAGAGTGAGACTCCAACTCAAAAAAAAAAAAAAAAAATTTAGACAATATAAAAAGTATCACTCAGGCTGAGCACAGTAGCCCATGCTTATAATCCCAGGTACTTTGGGAGGCTGAGGTGAGAGGATTGCTTGATCCCAGAGTTCAAAAGCCCAGGCAACATAGCGAGACCCCATCTTTACAAAAAAAAGAAAAAAATATTAGCTGGATGTGGATGTAGTGGCACACACCTAGTGTCCTAGCTACTTAGAAGGCTGATGTGGTAGGATCACTTGAGCCTAGGAGGTTGAGTCTGCAGTGAGCTATGATTGTGCCATTGCACTTCAGCCTAGGCAACATAGCGAGACCCTGTCTCAAAAAGCAAAAAACTATCATTCAGGAAATGGAAGTTGTCCTTAATCCTCTCCCCTGTCCCTGCCTCTGCCATAGTCAATAGACATCTTTTTTCTGCCTCTGTTTTTTTCTTTTTTTGAGTTGGAGTCTCACTCTGTCGCTCAGACTGGAGTGCAGTGGCACGCTCATGGCCACTGCAGCCTTGACCTGCTAGGCTCAGGTGATCCTTCTACCTCAGCCTTCCAAGTAGCTAGAACTACAGGCATGTGCCACCACACCCAGCTAATTTTTTTTTTCATTATAGAGACAAGGTCTCCCCACGTTGCCCACGTCTCAAGCACACGGTCTCAGGCAGTCCTCTTGCCTCCACCTCCCAAAGTGCAGGAATTACAGGTGTGAGCTCCTCCCCTGGCCTCTGCCTCTATGTAGTCCTCATATTAATCTCATCTTCGCTAGGGATTTATCAACATCACTTTATAGATAAGAATAGCTGAATGCAAAAAAAAGGCCACACGTCTCCTGAATGCAAAAAAAAAAAAAAATGTCCACACGTTCAGCTGGCAGAGGGTGGGGCCTGGACATTCAGGCCTTGGTGAGCTAGGGGTACAACCCTCTGGATAACCTCTTGAATCCCAAAGTCCCTGAGCCACCCCATACCAGCCCCTCTTGCATCTTGCAGGCCTCTCTGAACCTGCCTTTTTGCCTGTTCTCTTTAGAGAGGTAAGGGAGAGCCAGTCTGTACTTCTTTTTTTTTTTGAGTTGGAGTCTCACTCTGTCGCCCAGACTGGAGTGCAGTGGCCGCTCCCAGCCACCGCAGCCTCGACCTGCTGGGCTCCGGCAATCCTTCTGCCTCAGCCTTCCGAGTAGCTGGAACTACAGGCGCGCGCTACCACGCCCAGCTGATTTCTTGATTTATTGTAGAGATGAAGTCTCGCCAAGTTGCCCAGGTGGGTCTCGAACCCGCGGGCTCAGGCAGTCCACTCACGTCAGCCTCCCAAAGCGCGGGATTACAGGCTGAGCCACCAAGCCCGGCTAGTCTGTACTTCTCAGCCCCTGTTTTTCAGGCCAGCTTCCCAGAGAGCTGTGAGAGAAGAACATCCGTGGGTGGGTGCGGGGGCTCATCGCCCATCCTACCAAAGGGAATGTGCACACGCTTTTGCAGATGTTTGTCTTCTTACACTGTGCCTGTGTGTGTCCACATCTGGTGAGGGCTACCTGTGGGGTCAGGCTCTCCTGTACTACCCCACACCATGGAGAGGCGAGGAGAGCTCTGTCCTGCCATTTCTTTTGTCTTCCTATATCACGCCCTCCCACACACCCAGAGGAGGAGGCTCGGATATGGCCCATTTCTCTGCGGCACTGCTCTCTGGTGGTCTGGAAACATCCAGGGTGAGAGTCTATGCTGGTAGAACCAGAACAAAGACTTAGTTCTCCTGTCTATCCTTTCACCCACTGGCCAGCCTCCCAGCCTGGGCTCCCTCAGCCTATGAAATTTGCTTCCAGTTAGCCGGGCGTGGTAGCGCGCGCCTGTAGTTCCAGCTACTTGGAAGCCTGAGGCGAAAGGATCGCCAGAGTCCAGCAGGTCGAGGCTGCGGTGGCTGGGAGCATGCCACGGCACTCCAGTCTGGGCAACCGAGTGAGACTCCAACTCAAAAAAAAAAAAAGAATTTGTTTCTGGAAGTCACACCTGTTCAACTCAACTTGACACCCACTCATGGAGTTCCTTCTCTGTGCCCAGCTCTGGCTGAGGACCCAAGGGCAAGTTGAGGCACAGTCTCTGCCCCTGAGGTGCACACAGTGTAGTGTGGAGGGAGACATAAGTGAGGAACACAGGGCCACACAGGCACGACCACATAAGAGGCAGAGGAGGGCTACAAAGAAGGTGAGTGCCTTGCAGCAATGGATGTGGCTTTATTTTTCTTTGTGTCTCAAGGGAAGGGATGTGTTTTAACCTCTGCATCCCCTGAGACAGGCAGACCTGCTGGCTGTGAGCTCTCTCCAATGAATAAGAAATGGGGGAAGTCACGTGACTGGGTCAGTTCCATTGGTTGAAAGGTCTAAGCCCTTCAAGATTTAGATTCTGTGCAGAGAATTAATGAAAAAGTCTTTGGGGGCTGACCTGATCCTCTGTTTCACTCAGCTGTCACTTCCTCCACCAGTTGGGTCACCCAAGGTGGCTCCATCATTTGTGAACTGTGTCCAAGGGATATTACTCATTATAAGTGAACTATCATGTTTTGTGCCTCACTGACTTACATGTTAGATTGGTCAAAAGATTATTCCTAAAATAACTTCACTCCTGCACAGTTGCATTGCAAAATGCTCTCTGAAGTAGAAGAGAAAGGCATGAAGCCTTGCAGGTCTACAGGTGACGGCATCAGTGTCACCTGGGATCCTGTTACAAATGCAGGGTCTCAGGCCCCACCCAGACCTGCTGAATCAGACTCTCCAGGGAGGGGCTTAGAAGTGTGGTTTTGTTTTGTTTTTGAGTTGGAGTCTCACTCTGTCGCCCATACTGGAGTGCAGTGGCCGCTTCTGGCCACCGCAGCCTCAACCTGCTGTGCTCCGGCGATCCTTCCGCCTCAGCCTTCCAAGTAGCTGGTAATTACAGGCATGCGCTACCACACCCGGCTGATTTTTTGATTTATTGTCGAGATTAGGTCTCGCTGCCCAGGTGGCTCTCGAACCCGCGGGCTCAGGCAATCCACTCACCTCAGCCTCCCAAAGGCGCGGGATTACAGGCTGAGCCACCAAGCCTGGCTAGGAGTATGTTTTAACAAGCTGTCCTTGTGACATACAGGGGTAAGTTTTCGAATACCACCTGATACTGCCAACAACCTCAAGCCTATGGGCATCATCTGTGACAAGGTTAGGTGTCTCTGGTCTAGTCCCTGGCCCTTGGATAATAATTGCAGGAACATCGAGTCCTTTTGTGTGCTTAATATTGGCCTATCCGTGGGTCTTTTGTTGTGGTTCACGTTCCCAGGGAAACAGACTCCAAGGTTTCCTGGCCGGAAGCTTGTCGGGTGTGCTCTCTGGTGCGACATCTGTAAGAGTGTGGGAGGGGAGAGAGAAGTTGGGTTGTGATGCAGTTTCACAAGTGGCCTCAGCCAACCCTAGAGGGTGCTCGGCAGCTGGGATGGCACTTTGAGGTATACCAGCCAGTTGGTTGTAACCCTGGGCGAGGCGGCTCAGCAGAGGCCACACCCAGAGAGGGACACATCTGAGAAGTGTCAGCAGCCAATAGCCCTGCCAGCTGGGGACTGAGTGAGTGCCTTGGTCCTGAAGGGGGTTCAAGAGGTACACCACAGCCGCCTCCACACTCTTTGTAGATCTGACAAAAGCCGGTTGGGTGCAGTGACTCACACCTGTAGTCCCAGCACTTTGGGAGGCTGAGGGAGGTGGATTGCTTGAGCCCAGGAGTTTAAGACCAGCCTAGGCGTCATAGTGAGATCTTGTCTCTACAAAAAAAAAATTTTTTTTTTTTAGTTGGAGTCTCACTCTGTTACCCAGGCTGGAGTGCAGTGGCATGCTCATGGCCACCATAGCCTTGACCTGCTGGGTTCAGACGATCCTTCTGATTTAGCCTTTTGAGTGGCTAGAACTACAGGTACATGCTACCACGCCCGGCTTATTTTTTTATTTATTGTAGAGACAAGGTCTCACCAAGTTGCCCAGGCTGTTCTCGAACCCCTGAGCTCAGGCAATCCTCTCGTCTCCCAAAGTGTTGAGATTCCAAGCTTGAGCCACTGTGCCTGGTCAAAAAAACCTTTTTTTTAGTAAAAAAAAATTAACGAAGCGTGGAGGTGCATGTCTGTAGTCTCAGCCACTCAGGATGCCTGGGTCCAGGAGGTTGAGGCTGCCATGAGCCATGATTGTCATGAACATACACTGCACTCCCGGCGGGGTGACACTCACATTTTTTTTGAGTACCCGACTCAAAAAAAAAAAAGTTACGTCAAAGCCCCTGTGTTTGTGTTTGAATCTCTGTGGGCTGATGTGGGACTGCAGTCATCTCCCCCTTTGTTTGGTCTGATAACCCGTCAGTTTTCTGCTGATCCTTGATCAGGTGAAGTCACCTATGTCTTCACCAATGGTCTTTCCACAGCCTCACAGTTTGAGCATGTGAAAAAGACGAGACGTTGCAGAATTAACAGTCAGAGATGTGGGTTACATCATGTCATAAGCCCTGCCATTACTGGCTGTGGGGTGGTTATCGTTTTTGTTTGTTTGTTTTGAGTCAGGATCTCACTCTGTTGTCCAGGCTGAAGTGCAGTGGCACGATCATGGCTCACCACAACCTCAACATCCTGTGCTCCAGCAATCCTTCTGCCTCAACCTCTGGAGTAGCTGGGACTACAGGTGTGAGCCACCACACCCAGCTAATTTTTGGATTTTTTTGTAGAGTTGAGGTCTCTCTATGTTTCCCAGGCCGTTCAAACTCCTGGGCTCAAGCAGTCCTCCCACTTTGGCCTCCCAACATTCTGGGATTACAGGCATGGGCCGCTGTGCCCAGCCTGGTAGCAGATTTTCGTGGGCAGTTTTAGATTCCTGACTTGTCCAGTAGGGGTGATGTCTGTTAGATCACAGCTGTGAGTTTCCATAGAGAGTGGTTGGGAAAAGTGCTTTGTAAACTCTAAGGTATTTAGTTAAGTGCTACCTTTAACATGAAACTCCTTTCTCTAAACCTTGCATCCTGCAGGCCACATCTCTGTCTCTCAACAAATGGTTTAAACATGTCCTTTATTTTTCTCTCTCCACAGTGATGAGCTCATGGATCCCAAAAGCCTGGACTGTCAGTAGTAACTAGGGGCACATTTTTGTCTTCTAGGTGCCAACTTACCCTTTGCAGCACAGCCTACCAGCTACGACTATGATGCCCCACTGAGTGAGGCAGGGGACCTCACTGAGAAGTATTTTGCTCTGCGAAATGTTATCCAGAAGGTGGGTGCTTCACACGAGTTGTGGTGAGCTAGTCTTGGATAAGCCTGCCTTGAACTCTGTGATTCTGTAGACAACTTCCTGCGTAGAGCCCTCATGTCTAAAAGGATGGATGCAGAGAGGCGTCATCTAGACTCGGGTTTGTGTCTTGGCTCCATGCAATGAACAGTGAGCCTAAGAGCAAGTGACTCTAGTGATTATTTGATTCTTTTTTTTGTTTTTGAGTTGGAGTCTCACTCTGTCGCCCAGGCTGGAGTGCAGTAGCACGCTCACAGCCAACCTGCTGGGCTCAGGTGATCCTTCCACCTTAGCCTTCCAAGTAGCTGGAAATACAGGCACATGCCATCATGCCCGGCTAATTTTTTGATTTAATGTAGAGATGAGGTCTCACCAAGTTGCCCAGGCTGGTCTCAAACCCGTGGGCTCAGGCAGTCCTCTCACCTTGGCCTCCTAAAGTGCTGGGATTATAGGCATGAGCCACCATGCCCGGCTCAATTATTAATTTCTTAAACTGGAATTACAGGCCAGGTGAGGTGGTTCAGGCCTGCAATCCCAGCACTTAGGGAGGCCAAGGTGGGAGGATTGCTTGAACCCAAGAGTTCAAGATCAGCCTAGACAGCACAGTGAGTTCTCGTCTCTACACGAAAATCCAAAAAAATTAGCCAGGTGCATGCCTATAGTCCCAGCTACTTTGGAGGCTGAGGAAGAAGGATCGCCTGAGGCCACGAGGTCGAAGCTGCAGTGACTTGTGCTCATGCCACGGCACTCTAGCCTGGGCGACACAGTGAGACTCTGACTCCAAAAAATAAAATAAAGTAAAAAATAAAAACTGGAATGACATTACCTGGTTGTGTTATAAGGATTAAAAAGAGCGTAGGAAGTCATCCAGGACAGTGTCTGACATGTATATGTTTACTAAGCGGTAGCTGTTACTATTGTTTATCCTTAAGGTAAGAAAATGTGTGTCTACTTAAGTAGCTGAAGTATGCAGGGAAGAAAACTCCGTGGTCACTGTGAGGTATGGTCCAGATGTGAGCTGTCAGTGATGCTGCGTCTTTTTGGAGCAAGTGATTGCTGTTTCTTCTTCTGGCCTGCACCTGAACTAAGCTTAGTCCTGCTAGCACTGTAACCTTTTGAGGCACCCAGTGTACCCAGGTGGGGTTTCCTGTCTCTGCTGTGGGTTGAAAGAAAAACCCACAGTTTTTCTGCTCAGTCACCTGAGTTTTGAAGTTAAAAAACAAAGATTTTCTGCCTATATAAGGTATTTTTTGGGTTTTAAGTATGATGTCTCAGTTTTAAGCCTGTGTTAACATTTGTATTATGAAGTATTTTTAAGCATATAGAAAAAATATAATCTAGACTTTACTCTTAGAATTTGTCCATTTCATCCTAAGTTTCAAATGTATTGCTAAAATGTTGCTCATGTTATTCTTTTACTAGGGGTTTAATCTCTGCAGAATTGATAGTAATGTCTCCCAAGCTCTCGTATGTTCTGTTTCAAAGCTTTCTATTTCCATGTTTTAAATTTTCTTCCTATAGTCAAAGCTTAGCTTTTTAATCCAGCCTTTCTCCTCTTTTCTAATATAAATATTCAAAATTATACATTTCCTTAAAGTACCACTTTGTTCATCTCTATGTTTTAGTGTGCAATATTGCATATTATTATTTGTTCCTAAACATTTTGATTCTCTTTGACCCTTGAAATGTGCCGAACTGTGTTTTTCTTTTATTAAAAATAAGTATTTTTTACTAGTTAGTTGATTTCTAACATATTTACATTCTGGTTAGAGAGCGTGGTCTGTATGATACCAATCCCTTGAAATTTGTTGAGCCCAGTTGTAGAGCCAAAATACACCAATATTAATAAATATTCAACGTGTGCTCAGAAAGAATGCATATTTTATAGTTGTCATATTCTGTGTACATGTTCATTAGATGAAGCTTATTCATGGTGCCATTGATATCTTTGATACATTTCCTAATCTTTTGTCAGTTTATTCTGTTGTTTATTGAGAGTTTTTTTAAACGTATTTCTCCTTGTAGTTTTGTCATTTTTTGAGGTTATGTTATTAGATATGCAAACTGAGAATTAAATTCTTTAGTATTTAATAGTAGAGAGATTACATAACTTCTATCTGTAAAATTTTTTTAGCCTTGATGTCTTTTATGGTCTGTTATTAGTAAATATAGCATACCCACATTCTTTAGGTTAGTAGTTACCTGATATGTGCTTTAATTCCAACCTTTTTATGTCCTTTGTTTTCTTTACATGTGTCCCTATAAACAGGAGATAGCTAAATTTTAAAAATATCTAGTTTGAAATTTTTTGTCTTTTGACTGGCGCAATTATTCATTCTCATTCATTATAATTCTTGATATACATAAATTAATTTCAAACATCTTAATTTATAATTTCCTTTTTTTTTTTGAGTTGAAGTCTCACTGTCGCTCAGGCTGCAGTGCAGTGGCACACTCACAGTCACCGCAGCCTCAACCTGCTGGGCTCAGGTAATCTTTTTGTCTCAGCCTTCCAAGTAGCTGGAACCACAGGCGCATGCTACCACACCTGGCTAATTTTTTTATTTATTGTAGACTCTGCCTCCCAAAGTACTGGGATTACAGGCTTGAGCCACTGCACCCAGACTTTAATTTATAATTTCTGGCAGGGTGTGGTGGCTCACACCTATAATCCCAGCATTTTGGGGGGCTGAGGCTAGAGGATTGCCTGAGCCCAACCTGGGCAACTTGGCGAGACCTCATCTCTATAATAAATCAAAAAATTAGCCAGGCATGGTATACACAACTGTAGTTCCAGGTACTTGGAAGGCTGAGACGGTGGATCGCCTGAGCCCAGCAAGTTGAGGCTGCCGTGGCTGTGAGTGTGCCACTGCACTCCAGCCTGGGCAACAGAGTGAGACTCTGACTCAAAAAATAAAATAAAATATAACTTCTATCTGGTTTACCTTTTCTGGTTTTTTTTTTTCTTCCCTTTATTGTTTCTTTAGATTGATTGAGGTTTTTGGTTTTTTTTTTTCTTATTTTTACCCCCTCTTCTAGTTTGAAAGTTATTCATTGCATTTTTTATTTTTGTAGTAGTTACCCATTGAAGTATAATAAACGTACCCCCAGAAAAGTACAATTCATAAGTATATACCTAAGTATATAGACCAAGTGGACACAGCCCTCCAGTTATACCTCTTCTGACTTGTGTGTTATTATGGTCATATATTTTAGTTCTCTGGGTTTAGTTTTCATGTATTTTAGTCCTCTCTCTCTCTCTCTCTCTCTTTTTTGAGTTGGAGTCTCATTGTCGCCCAGTCTGGAGTGCAGTGGCACGTTGCTCACAGCCACTGCAGCCTCAATCTGCTGGGCTCAGGCAATCCTTCCTCCTCAGCCTTCCAAGTAGTTGGAACTATAGGTGCACACCACCACTCCCGATTAATTTTTTTTTTTTTTTTTTATTGTAGTGATGAGGTCTCACCAAGTTGTCCAGGCTGGTCTCAAACCCCTGAGCTCAGGTAGTCCTCTCACTTCAGCCGGCCAAAGTGCTGGGATTACAGAGTGAGACTCCAACTCAAAAAAAAAAAGAAAAGGTGAGGCTTAAACAAAGACTTTAAGGTGGTGAGAAAGTTCTATGGCTCTCCAAGGAAAGAGCATTCGGGCAGAGTTCAACCAGGGAGAAGGTGAGAAAGTGCATGGCTTTTTTTTTTTTTTGAGTTGGAGTCTCACTCTGTCACCCAGACTGGAGCGCAGTGGCCACTCCCGGCCACCGCAGCCTCGACCTGCTGGGCTCCGGCGATCCTTCCGCCTCAGCCTTCCAAGTAGCCGGAATTACAGGCACGCGCTACCACACCCGGCTGATTTTTTGTAGAGATGAGGTCTCGCTGCCCAGGCAGGTCTCGAACCTGCGGGCTCAGGCATTTTTAAAGACTAGCAAGGACTCTCTCTCTCCCTCCCTGTGGCCCCTACTCTTGTTTTCTTTCTCTTTCTCTGGCTCTCTCTGGCTCTCTCTCCCCTCCCTCCCTCTCTCCCTCCCTTCCTCCCTCCCTTCTCTCCCTCTCTTTCTTCTCTCTCTCTTTCCCTCTCTCTCTGGCTGTCTCTCTCCCCCTTGCTTCCTCCCTCACTTCTCTGTGTCTCTGTCTCTGTCTCTGTGTCTGTCTGTCTGTCTCTCTCTCTTGCTCTCCCTCTCCCTCCTCCTGTCCTTAAAAAAGAAAAGCAAGCCAGGCTCGGTGACTCAACCTGTAATCCCACGCTTTGGGAGGCCGAGGTGAGTGGATTGCCTGAGCCGGCAGGTTCAAGACCCACCCGGGCAACTTGGCGAGACCTCATCTCTACAATAAGTCAAAAAATTAGCCGGGCGTGGTAGCGCGTGCCTGTAGTTCCAGCTACTTGGAAGGCTGAGGCGGAAGGATCACCAGAGCCCAGCGGGTCGAGGCTGCGGCAGCCGGGAGTGGCCACTGCACTCCAGTCTGGGCGACGGAGTGAGACTCCAACTCAAAAAAAAAAAAAAGAAAAGAAAAGCAAACAAACAAACAAAAAAGACTAGCAAGGAGGCCAGTGTGGCTGGAGTCCGGTAAGTGAAGAGGAGAGAAGTAGGAGATGAGGTCAGAGAGTTAGATGCTGAGAGGTATAGGCCGTCTTAAGACTTTGGCTTTTATTCTGAGTGAAATGGGGATTCATGGTAGAGTTGAACAGTGCAGTTAGATTATTCAGACTCCCACTCTGGGAGGTGCAGCTTGAGTAGAACAGGAAGACCAGTGAGAATGCCCTTGCAGCCATTTAGGTGAGAGGTAGGAACTAGTCTGATTCAGAATAGATCATGAAGGTGGAGCTCACAGAATGTTCCAATGTAGAGTATAAAAGAGTAGAGTCAAAGTATCTCTGAGCTGGGCTCAGTGGCTCAGCCTGTAATCCCAGCACTTTGGGAGACCGAGGCGAGTGAATTGCCTGAGCCCGTGGGTTCGAGACCAGTCCGGGCAACTTGGCAAGACCTTGTCTCTACA